GTGGCATTGCTCCAAAGAGGACTCTGGTGTTGAGTGAGAACATGTATGAAGTAGCTCGTTCATGATGACCTATCTTAAAATCCACAGCACAAAGGTCATTTTGATTTCCCCCTTACATATAACATCCTCTATTCAGCTTCTTCCTCCTTCCTCTTGTTTTGAGTTTTGTATTCAGAATGCTGGTGGGTTTGTAAAGGGGTCTAAAAGCGTTCCCCAAGAAAAAAACCTGCAATCAGTATAGTTTCCCTTGCAATACAGGGACTCCCCTTCCCAGACTCCCAATGTCCTCAGCCCCTGCTCCTTTCTGTTCACAGTCAAGGCTGGCAGGGGATTCATATCATGCGACACCATCACTGTGTCACCTCTCCCAGAGACAGAGGTTTCTTAACCACCAGGTGCTAACTGTAGAACGAAGGGCTCAGTTGCCTGTTAAAGGAAGGTCTGCAGGATTACCAGTGGGGAGGGCTGGTAGAGACCAGAGATGCCCTTCTCCTCACTACTAACACCACAACCCGGCTTCCCTGCAAAAGAGGGAGGCGCAAAGCAAATGTGTTTCATGAACAGACCGTACAAGTCCAGATACAAATCAGGGAGCTGTGGGATTTGTGTTTGGTCTATAAGGGAAATGTGTGATTTCTCTAGGGTTCAGGATGCAGATTTGCAGGCAGGAGGCCCAGTAACAGGTAGCCTTCAGATCCATCTCATGGGCCAGCCAGAAAAACCAATTCCCAAGATACAGCCAAACAGGGGGCCAGGTAGGAAGGCCCTGGAGTCAGAAAGACAAGGCTGGATGTTCTGGTTCCAATATTTACAGTTGGGACTTTCCTTGGAGAAGTTCCTTGGCCTTTCTGGGCCTCAATTTCCCCATCCGTATGATCAGGCACTTACGTCTCTTTCATAGGATTCCTGAATGGAGATGAGATGGCCTCACAAGTGTGATGATAACAGGGCCCAGGTGGGCTACTGATGTCACTGACTCCGTATGAGAGCAGGGTGTGCCTGTGTGTGCGGTGGGGGAGGGGGGTCTCACCGTGTGCTGGACACTGTCCTCAGTCTCTAGTGATGGCACCAAATGCACCTCACACTCGGTGCTACTATGGAAACCAAGTGCAGGCAGGCTACAGCCCATCAGTGGAAAGCCTACATTTCAGAGCATTTTTTAAGAGTAAACATCTTATCTTCTGACAAACAATAAGAAATTTGTTTCGACAAAAGTTTGTCTGCTATATACATTTCCTTAGGAAAATGGCTTTAGTATTATATGAGTGTTTTATAATTGGAACACCAAGTGCAGGGAAATAGATGAGGACCGCTGAGAATATTCTGCTCCCAAAGGCTACTTACTTATAAGCATTTACTCTACCATTCTGACATACTTCTGTGTAAATAATCTCTCACCAGATAGTCTAAAGACTTGGCCCCATCTCTGTCAAAGAAATTGCAGGTCCTGATCTGAACTAATTTTCATTCTTATTGCATGTCTAATTCTTAGCTTAGGTCTACCAGATTTCCTTGCACACTTTGATGTTCCTTTCCACAAAGAAAATGTGCTGAAATGTGAGAATTATGGCAAAGCGCTTGGAAAAGGGTGGCTCAAGCTTGAAAGGCTCTATCTTGATGTCTAAAGATACAAAGTATCACTGTACCTGGATCACGTGGTCATCACTTGTTATTTCTATGGCTTCATGACAGTGGTCTAATGCTGTAAACACTGAATTACAGGCCCTGAAAGTGGCAAAAGATTAATGTTAGTTCTGCTAGAAAAGCATTAGCATTTCATCTGTTAATTTATCAAAGTAAACAGTTCCTCAGATTCATTTAAAACCATGTACTCTTTGGTATTATGTTTTGGAAATAAAAAGAAACCTAGTCTTCAAAGTAAATGAATAAAAAACAGCATGTATTTCTATGTATATGAACGAGAAGAACGTAATCCAGCAATGTCTTCATGGATCATGGCACAGACCACACGTGTGCTGAATAAAACCTTCATACTGACACACAGAACAAGGGGGCAGGCGACAGCCTCGTATGTCCCCGATGTTCTCTGTCAACGACATTCTTCTGTTCCGTTCACAGTGTGGTCATGGAGAAGTCAAGTCCCCATCAGCTAGGAAAACCGAATTAAGCCTAAATTGGATCTGAGGTATTCTGGCCCTCTGCAACAGACACAGAAACATTTGTTCTCCTTTCTTCTGTAATCCTAGACAAACAAGCCTTTATGGTACTTCGCTTTCGGCCACACCCACCAGCGCGATGAAAGGCAGATACAGAATTCCCCTTGCCCGGTCAATTGTATAGCTCTCCAGGTGGGCATTTTCTTGGTGATCTAACTTGTATATCCGGAATATTTGAAATCATTTCAATTTCTTGGTTAAACTTTTAACTACCTTCCAAATCTACAGCACCTCCAAATACAGTAAGTTATTTACTCTCTAACCCAGCAAGTACGTGGCTAGTTACTAGAGCTTTGTCATTTGTGCTGGTTGTTTAAAGACTCCCAGCAAAGGCTTTCTTACACATTACCTCCATTCTCCAAAAAAATGTTAACTGGATTGATGCTTCTTCTTATAAAACTAACTCTTAAAATGTTATTTATTTCTCTATTTCTAAGGCATCTAACCTTGCCATTGTGTTCTGAACTGTTTACTAGGGAGAGGACAGAAAAAACTGGGTGAAATCTGGTTCAGGATTTTGCCAGTTATGGGACCTTGGGCAATGTTCTATCTCTGCTGGCCCTCAGTTATCTCATCTATAAAATGAAGGTAACATATTTTACAGGTTGTTTTAAGACTCAGATAGTTAATGTGAGGCATTTCTCAAAGTACTAGGGACAACAGAAGAATTTAACACTTGGTACTTATCATTCGTGAGATGTCAGAGTAATATTTCTTTGTTCTCTAAAGCTTTCAAAGGCTGTTGATGAAAAGAAAAGTGCATCATAACCTATCTTTTCTCATGAGTGTACCTGAAATACCAAACCAAGAACTGCTTTCAATGGCAGCCAGGAAACCTGCCCAGGAAGTGAGGGATTTTAGCCCGCTGCGGGTCCCAGCAGTTGCAGAGGTGAAGACTCGGGTGTGGGAGGATGAGTGAAATACGGAACCATGACGTAGGTGAGTGGAGGAGAACACAAGCCTAACCCAACTGAGATCCCTCACGGGTGCAGGATGTTTTCTTACTTAAACGGATCCAGTCTATCTAATGTGACCCGTATACTGTCCTATTAGCATTGCTGCATTTGTAAACATGATCATTTAAAATCTGAGAATAGAAATAGGACTTTATAATTGTTAAAGTCATTACTAAACTACCTCTCACGAAGAGGCAAGAGCTAGTCTTAGCGGAAGTTTTTTCCAGGCGCCTGAGTATAGAACCTGACTCACCACCACAGGAAAGCGTTTCCTGTCCTCCCAAAGTATACAATGTGTGGGCTAATTCCTTAGCTTTGACAGCTGGATAATTAAGTGCTAACACATTTTATCAAATGATAAATTCCTCTCTGGCCCAAGTATCTTCTTAAAGTACTTGTGTGGCTCAATTGAATATGTAAACAGCTCCTTCAGAGTATGATTGTTCTTGTCAATTCAAGAGGCTGCCTTCATACAAGATCTGAGCTCCAAATGCCAACATTTATCTATTAGATGCTGACTACAAAGCACACACTATCCAGTGAGTATAATGCCCAGTGGGACAAAGCAGATTCTAACTAACAGTCGACGTGAGAGTATACTGGCAGGACCAGAGACAATCACTACTGGACTATAATGTTGCTATCTAGGCTTTAAACCAATTTGGTTGATGGTTCTGTTTAACTAAACCTGCAGCAAAATGAGGTAATTAATTTGAATCATGTTCCTAGAGTTCAGGAATTTAATTGCTTATATTAATGATTAATACTTGTCATATGGAAGAACGTTCACTTTATTAATTTCCACTTCTTGGGAGCCATGGAACTCTGCACATCCAATGTGCTTTTATAGCCTTCAGGTTGAAAAATTGGAAAACTGGAAAAAGCACAAGGGCAATGGAACCTCAGCCTGAAAACCCACGTAGTGCAGGAGATGTAACCATTTCCCCCTTTATCATCTTAAAGGGCCGTAAAGTTCCAAGGGGGAAAAGGCACACATCACAGGGACCCAGGCAGAAAGTCTACAAAGAACACAATGGTAAGATGGGGTGCAGAGTGGTTACAACTGAAAGCAGGATGCCTGGATTCTACTCCGGCACTGCCACTGACATATGGGATAGCTATGATCATACCAAGTCTTCCTGGCTCTCAGTGTTTCCTCTGTCAATTGTGGCTGGGGTGGCTGGGTTATGAAGCCTCCTGTGTCCCCACTAAAGGCACTCTCTAACCTCTGCTCAAACAAAATACCACCTGCCCCGGCCCAGACCCACACACAGAGAGGCTGCCCATAACACGAGTAGGACTGGGCAAAGTGGTGGCATGCAGGGAGAAGATTCTGAACACAAATCCACATCCCCGCAGGGGTGTGGGAGTGGCAGGGAGGGGACCACGGACTTGCCACTGGTCAGCACCATTCCTGGGCATCGATGCAGCAGGGGCTGGTTACTTGAAGCCACACAGCCCAGTTTCAACTCCTGTAATGCACTGGCTGCCCCACAGAGCCCATGTGAGGATAAAATGCTCCATAAACATCCGTTGGTAACAAGAGATGTAGTGTTCCATGGAACACAAAGTCTTGCCCATCAGAAACTGATTCTTTCTAAAACTGAAGACTGCTACTGTCTCAAGACTTGGAATAAAACAAACATGATGATTCGGGTGTAATTCCTAGATTACAGGTGTCAGATTGCCTAATGATGAAATGATAGCTCATCAGCTCAAACTCCCAATAAATAGCCAGATCCTGTCTGTATTTTGGTTAACAGAGTTCTTTTCATGAAAAAGCAGCATGAGAACATAAGAGATAAATGGTCATCAGTTAGCCTGGATTTCCCTAGAAATTCCCCATTTCATGAATTCTTCTGTTCAGTCAAGGAATTCATCATATGTACTCAGAAATGTGACTTCGTTCTATCTTTAAACATTATTCTTATATAATGGAATTTTTAATTTAGGTATTTTATGTTTGATCACACGTTTTTTTTTTCTTGGCTAAGTAAATATGGTTGCCAATACATGAAGACCCGGACAGAAGTGTCTGCCTTCAACATCATCCCTGCAGTACAAACTGTCCTTGCAGAATTCTAGTAATGCCACATATTTAGCTGCAGCTGGGGGTGGAATTTGCAGGGGAAAGTATTATATAATTAGACTATAATTATTCTGGCATTGTATAATAAAGAGCCTCATTTCCCCTGTCTGTATCAAGTGACAGTGTTGCCTGCCAGCCTCTGGGGTGCAGGTAGAGTCTTTAGACGTCCCTGAATGCCCTAGGGAGGTGGGGAGACCATGGATGGGTCACTCTCCCCGCTATCCACTGAGCCCAGATCTTGAACTCCCAGGGAGAGCCAAACCACACACACACATGCCCTACTCCTCCATAAAATGGGCAAGAAGTTAAAGGCAGCTGAGGTACAACCAACCAAAAATAATCAAAAGAAACTGACCACGTAGCCCTCCTCTGGCTCCTCCTGGAGAGGGAACCTGCCTTTCCTTCCCCTCTGCAGGGGCTGCTCCTGTGCTGGTAGCTCATGATTTGAAAGAGAGGCTCCTCGCCAGCCAAGCTTAAGCTGGTGTGGAAGGTGAGAAGATCAGTGTTCTGGGCAAACCCATCTTCCCGGGACCACTGCTGCCTAGGCCAGTCCCTTCGCCCGCTTCACACTGATGTGTATTCACAACCCGAGCCTTTCCATGATGACCTCTACAACGGGCCAATGCCCCCAACCAGCTCCAGGCACCGAGGAGTGAGAAGTTATGGGACTTACACAGTGTTAGGTACTTAGAACCCTGCCGAGTTCTGAATCTGATGAGACCTTGAAAAATTTTCAGTGCCCTGGCTCTAAGCAGATTTCATCAACACAATAACCCAAAGCCCTTTCTTTTAGCTCTCTTGCTGGCCGCTTTATCTCAAATTGCCAGACCTGCCTTTGCCCCACTGACCGTGGACAAGGCGACTTCTGACATCTTACATGTGCCATCACGTTTAACATTGCCTAAGAAAACTAGAGCCACCATTTAAAATAAAACAAGGGAATTCCCTATCAGAGCAATAAGGTGGCTGCTGTTCATTTTTGTTGTAGATACCACATGGTTAAAGAATTAAACCAAAATGAAATCCCTTTTTTCTAATTCTATGTATTGCAAAAACATCTAAAATAAAAGTATAAATTCTTTTTACCCTCAGTAAAAGCAGCTGAAACCCCCAGGAATAAAAGCAATTAATATACAATTAAAAATCAGACATTGCTGTAGTAAAGGCAATGTGGTTTTCTTAAAAAAAAAATTCTGTGAAGTTCTCTGAAGCTAATAAATCATGGTTACAAACAAACCAAGGGGATTTAACTTTCACTCAAAAATCTTTGGCAATATCCTTTACCAAAGAATTCCAACCGGTTTGAGATTCTTCTTTAATGCTTTCTCGCCTAAGAAAGGGACTGTTTATCCCCACACCTTGTTTCTTAAAGCTCTCTATCCACTAAAAAGTGACCTCCCTAACCGGGATGAACCCCAGAAGAGCCTGCCTCTGTGGGTCCGTGCCAATCCATTTTGTTTCCAAGGAACAGAGAATGGCCAAGAAAAATCAGGTTTAAAAGGGGTTTTGTTCTCTTTGAAGGCAAATTAAGTAATCAAGAAGTATAAGCACTGCAATGAGATGTTATCTCACTTATTTTTCACTGAGCCTGAAACGAGCATGACATCTCAGTTGGCCCAAGACCAAAGCCAGGGACCTTCTGGCTTCCTACAGGCTGGAGCCACTTGGGACTGGCCTCCCAGGGGCCATGGACTGGGAAGAGCCTCTTCTTTCCCCTGCTCCCTCTCTGCGCAAAGCAGGCCGGTTGAAGAAATCAGGGTCCTGAGAGCATGCTAGAAAGGACCTGAGCAAAACCTGGCATGAGCTAGAACTCTGATATTCCAAGATATCCCAGAAGCAGAGCATCCCACTATCCAGAGTTCCGGCCAGCCCCCAGACACTCAGAATCCCATCCCAGCTGTGAGCACCAGAGAGAAGCTTGCTCTTAAAGCACTGGGTACTCATGAAGAGACTTCAAATCAGGGGCCACCAACAGGCCTCCTGAAACTGCTAACATGGATACATAACAGTGATCATGGTTAGCATAATAAATACATCCATTGGTTTGCTCCTATCCATAACAATCCAAGGAGGAATTTATAAATGTTGAAAGTACTAAGTAGAAAGTGAGCCTCAAAAGGCTATTCTTAATCTCCATCTAATTGTACAGCAGTTAAACAGTACTTCTCCTAGGGTATAATTTTAAAACTGCTGCAAATAGTGGAAAATATTGTCAAAAGGAGAAGTGCTTCCCATCAATTTTATTATACCAAAGGGCTCCCAGTTTAGACTCTGCCGTTTACCAGCTACCGTTGCTTGTTTAACAGCTTCAAAATCCCGGGATCCAGCTCAGAACCTGTGAACCTCAGCCTAATGACAAACTTTTTTCTACAGAATTGTTAACCTCACATTCATCCTATTTTGCTACATACCTTAACTTGAACTGTGAGCGAACTTCCCCATGTTCTATTTGGATCAGTTCATTATAGCAAGCAATTATGCTGTTATTCTCCATAAATCTCTGGAAGGAAAAAAGCAAAGACAATACATAAGACATATACAATTATTTCTTAAATAGTCAAAGAAGCTTAAGAGTTTTTCCCACCTCAGATAACTGTTACATAAGACAACTAGTAGGTAAGATGAGATGAAATAAAACAGTTGTCAAGGTGTTTGAAATGCTTGTTTAAATGTATAAGAAACAACAGAACAATTAATACTGGACACTTTATAACAAAGGTGGGAAAAACTTCATTATGAACACTCACAGGGAAATAAACACACAAGGGCTAGAACACCTCCCCGACTTTGTTTATTGCTGAAACTCCTGTGCTTTCTGCTGCCCTAAGGAAAATCTTCTAAAACCTGACCCTGGACATGCTCAGTGTGTTCCACACTATGAGCGATCTCTTTTGAGGGGGGAGATCTGTCTTTGCTTCCTCTTCATCTAATGTGCTCTTGTCCCTCATACACACACACACACACCCCTAGCGTGGATTACATCACCCTGGGGAGCACCTGCGAAGTCCCTGACTTTCCCTGTGCCTCTCGTCCCCACTATCCCAGGGGGAAGCTGGGAAGGGCTAAAGACAAAGGGGAAACCTCGAACACACAAAGGAAATATTTTCTATTTACAAAGCAAGCTTAAACGTGTAAGGTACAGGCTGAGCTTCTGGATGGGTGGAGATTGTGGGTCAGCCTGTAACTGAGCTGAGCGGTGTCAGCTGATGCTTCATAAAGTGCAAAAAAGGATCTGTGATAAAATACGTTTTGAAAAGAATGAGATAAACTGTTAAGTTTCTTTCTTTAAGATGGAAACTTTAAAAGTAGACTTCTGTTGTCTGTGTCTAACTATAAAAGTAATAACATTAATTTTAAGGTGTACAAAACACAGAAAAATACAAAGAAAAAACCCTCAGAATCACTGATAATGTCATAAGCTGGAGATAATTAATTTTGGTTTATTCCCCTTAGGCTTTTATTTTGTCTCTTTCTTTAGGTCTAAGAACTTCCATTGCAGTGAGGATCAGTCTTCTGTAGGTGATGGTTTTTCAACACTGCAACACTTTGCATAACTGGCACTCATTGTCTTACAGACTATTTTATTCCATTGCCTTATCTTTTGGGAATTTTCCAGACTAGTTAACCCATAAATCCAAAATAAATTGAATGAACCAAAAAAGCAATGGTCTTCAAACTTCAACATGCTAAGAACCACCTGGCATTTGGTTACAAATGCAGATTCCTGGGCCCTGCTGCCAGGAACGTAGGCAGGGGTCTTCAGTACAGGACTCCCCCATACGTTTGGATGCGATGTGGCCAATGTGCACTGCACATTCTCGGGGGAGGGAGGAGGAGCAACAGAGTCTTCTCTGATTTCCCAGACTTGACCACAGAAGCCTTCTGCCACGGACACCTGTTAAGGGCTCTGGGACACTAGTGTTCCATGGAACAGTTTGGGAAATGTGACTCTGGTGGGCCTGGTACAGAGCTGGGAGTTAAACACCAAGCATGTGCATCTTGACTTGGTAAGAGAATGAACTATGCAAGTGAGTCATTTTGAGCCTGTCTGCTCTGCAAAAATGGAGAGAGTATCAAACCTCTCACCTGTAGATGAAGATCAAGTAAAGCACCTAGAATGGAGCCAGACAAATAACAAACCTCAGTTCTCCACTCCCTCCTCCGAGGGAAGCCTCTCCAGGGAGGAACTATTTCCAATGCTCAAATCCCTGACATGCTTAGCGCACTGCGCTGCTCACAGTAAGTGCTCCGTAAATACTTGCTGAATGAACTCCAAGCATCATTTCAGGTAGAAAAAGGGGCCCACAAAGACTGACTCCAAACAGCTACAATTGCCCTTTGCTAAGATGCTCTTCCTAAAAGGCTCAGGGTGGACTGAGCACCACACAGCCAGCCACTCATGCATAGCTACAGAGGCTTCAAGGGGAGCTGCTGTGGAATATGTGATGGTACAACGTGTTCCTGGATCCCCACTCAGGGACCCAGAGACTGAAGCGCTGGCCAATTAGCTAGTAAGGCAGAGCTGAGTTTCAGCAGATGATTTAATACAATCAAAACAACTCAGAGATGGGAAACGACTTTACGGAAGGCAAGGAGAATAGCTGGCATATTTGGAAGGGTTCTTGGGCAGAAAGTTGCCAGAGACAAAATTTTGCCCAAAAAAGGAGACCAGCCACCTGGAGAGCAGCCTCAGCTGACTCTGTGCCCCAGTAACTCAGGACCGGAAGGAAGCCTGGTAGGTTCAGTGTGCTTCTCTCCGCAAGAGCCCCAACTCCTTGGGGGCACCCTGACCTAGCTGGCAAAAGGCCTCGATCAGACCCAGCACAAAAAAACACCCAGTGGTCCCTGACAGGTACTGTTTTTCATGCTTCCACAAAGGGCCTGATTCACGGTGGATGACTGCAGGAAGCAGCACCCTATCTGGACAGACGGAAATGAAACCTTCTAGAGCAGCAAAGAAAGGTTACAAAATGAATTTAAAGGAGATAAGGGACCTTCCGTAATAAATTTACTTAACATCGTTTGCACTCCAAGGGCGCACATGTTTCTCCGAAGGTTTTCTGTGAGTAGACCTGCAATCTCAGCCCCTCAGATTAGATGCTACCACTCCAAACACCACCAGCCTCCTCAGGGTTGGCCGGAGGTAGGATCACTCAACTAAATGTTGAATTCCAAAAGGATACTGGACAGCAACTGCAGCGATGGGGGCTCACTGCAAGAACCTACAGAGAGTCACGCCTTCTCCAAGGTAATGGGAAACCCTCCATGCTTACATTGCAAGAGGTCCTGCCTCAGATGTGGAGGACAGTGCTGGGCTGGGATGCGTGGGTGCTCAACGTTACACAGAAGATCTATGAAAACTGAATAATCAAGTCATTTCTCAGAAAATGAATAAGTAAAGAGGTCCCAGCCACAAGGCTTCTGGGACGATTTTTCTTTTGCAACTGTCCATTCCAAGACTCAGAAGCACTGCATTATGCATTCTCATAAGCACACAAGAACGGCATCCAGAACCAAACGCCAGCCTCTGAGAGATGTGATGGGACAAGAGGAAAGTGTTAGGGAAGTGAGCGACATTGCTGACTGGAAACTTTCATTTCTATCACCGCGGACCATAGTGCTACCTGGAATGTTTTATAGAGCACCACTTCCACACTACAGCACACAAAAAAGCTGCATGATATAGGCAATTTCCATTTCTCTGTGGTCAACAACAAAGGGGATTTTTTTTTGAACCCAGTAGCAAAGCACCATTGCTTAAAGCACCCAAAGGAGTTTGTATAATTCTCAAGGCACTGGCAGTCTGCTATTTTTGAAGGAAAAGGAGGCAATCACATCATCTATTTGAGACTTGGATTATTCTTATCAAAAGACCTTAAGATACCAGGCAAACCTAGTTATTTAGTTTGTTGGTAAGTCTCAGAGTAACCAATCTTAATCTTCTAGTTAAGTATCAGTGTTATTCATGTAGCTGTCAACGAATTTTTCTCTGCTAATGTTTTTGGTTTAAACCAGGAGTTCACAAGATACTACAAGTTACTTGCTTGAGTTTAAATTATTAGCAAAAGTTGCATAAGTTAACAGTGGATCTCCACTCTCTTTTTCCCCTCAAAGGATAATCTTTTTTTTTTTTAAAGTAGGAGACATTTTTTAAAATTAAAAAAAAATACAAGCATATAAAGTGAGGTCCTCCATGATTTCTCTGTAAGGATTTGTTTTCTTTTAATGTTATGAAATATATTTCCTTAAACAACATGCTTTGATTATCTTTTTCCAACCACCTTTCTCTCTCTCAAACTGACTCCATCATGTTCTTTTCGGTTTCATGCACAAAGCCTCGCCTCCAACCAAACCTTCAGACTGTCCATGAGATATTGGGTAGGCCTACTTATTTAGTGTAAGTTTCCTTGGAGTAATCAGTCTTCAAGTTGAATTTCAGGGCTAGTCATGTAGTTGTCACTGAGAATTTTTCTCTGGACATTTATGGTCTCAATGAGGAGCTCATGGGATGCTGCTGCTGTCATGGGCCTATCCCAGGTTATAAGCTCTGGCTGAGCCTAATGAAAAAGGAGCCCTGGGTACTGATTTGGTGGACTAACTATATATAAACTACACGCACACACACACTAACTGAATGGACCGATTTAAATGAGATTACTTTGGGACTACAGAATTTTGACCTGATACAATAGATTTTTATGCCATTACATATCTGTAGCTAAGATATATAAAGTTATTAGAGAAAAGGAAAAACCTTGACTAGAGGGGAGCCGTTACCATCCCAGGAGAACAGCTACTTCCTTTCCCTCACAGTCCTGGAGCCTCACGCCTGGAACAGTTACGCACGGCTGCTTGGTTAAGGTTAGGTGTCTGTACTTGGGCGGGGGGCACTAGTTCATCTTCTACGTACCCTGTTGAAGCCTGCGTGCAGAAGAGGGAGGACTGAGGCCTCTTCACAGTCGCCTGATCTGCAGGAAAGCAGAAAATGGGGTCACTTAGCAGATACAAACCAGGACCCTCATGCTGAAACACGGACAGAGTGATGAGGCGAGCAGGGCGTCGGCTCTGAGAGTGACTTCCTGACCACACGTGCCCATGGAGCGTGGCACCCTTCAGTGACCGAGACTCCCACACCCGCCTTCAGATGCAAATAAAACACCAACAGTAGAGGGAACTTGAGCAGTGTGCGTGAGGGAAAGCACCACCACATACACCTGAGAGCCCTCCCCAACTCTGGGCTCCGGGGCAGCTACAGCGAAAGTCTCACAAAGGGGCAGGAGGCGCAGTGCTCATCCCAGAGACCACCGTCCTCCCTGATGTCCCCAAACCTTCCGAAAGCACAACTCCCACTCCAAGACCTAGCTGGGTCCATCTCTCAGTGTGAGGAAAGCAAGTGGCCACCACAGGCCGCAGCGCCCCAGGGCCAATGGGGAAGAAGTGGCATCAGGAAAGCCAAGTTAGAGGGGAGAAGAGGAAGCAAGAACTGATTATTGTCACTCATGTCACGGGGAGGTTTCCTACGTGGAGCCTACAGTTTGGTCTCAGGAGTTCAGTTTGAGTAGAGGGTGGGGGTCGGCTTTTCCTGAAGTCACGCTGTAGCCACGGTTCCACCTTTATGAGAAACGGTGTTCCCGAGTCAGCCAGCAAGTAACATGGAGAGGGGACCTTAGAAAATAGGGAAGAAAAATGGGATAGTGAAGGTTGGGTGGAGAAGCAGGCAGACAACAGGAAGAGAAACCCCAGTGCTTATCTGTGGCATTACTTGTAGCCCATTCCTGCCCGACAGGGAGGAGCCAGCTCCCCTACCCTCTTTCCTCCTCAGGAACTCATGATTCCACCTTCTCTGAATAAGAAATCAGGAGAGGCACAAAAAGGGCTGCAAAGGTATTAATGTTCTGTGTCATCAGCTGTGTGGCACAAGCTCAGCATTCATTTTATTATCAACTCCCTCATATATGAGATATTTTAAAAATAGGAAAAAAAGTGAAAAATAGTAACAAGACATAGTAAAGCATTACTTGTCAAGGACACGTACACATACACATTTTTGCTGCATGAGTTGGAAAACAGGAAAGTTCTATTCCTGGGCCCATGGAAGCAGCCAGGCTTGCAGAAATACTGTGTGGCCTGGCACCCACTGGTATCCATGTCAAGTCTCCTGGACCCTATGAAGATCTCATAGTCCCCAGAAGATAAATCCAAGCTGAAGCAGGCTAGTCCCCCATCTCGGTTCCCCTTATTCTTTCCCCTTGAGATCCCGTCTCCTATCAGGAGGGTGAGGTGGTAAGGAAGCACTGGGGCAGTTTCCTCACTTTCCTTGGCCCACAGCCCGTGGCAGGTATCAAAATGAAGAGACTCAGCTCCTAACAAGAGACTGAAGGAACAGCAGGGGAGGAGAAGTCCTTGGTTAGGGCAAGACTTTGAAGCCAGGATTTCCCACTGTCCCAGCACGGCTTTGGAGTGGATGTTTCAAATTTCTCCTGGGCTGGGCCTGCTTGAGGGAGACAGTCTCTGAGAGGCTGGCCTGTCAGCTCCTTCACTGCGGAATCTGGGCCCATCACCACAAGGGGCCAGGTCCAGTCGGCACTAGGCCCTAATTAAGGTCTTATTCTCTCTGAAGCTAATGATGGCCATTAAGTGACTAGAACATATTTGGATACTTGCAAAGACTCCAACCACTGTAGCTGTCCAATCAATTTTTTCCTTCCAGGTCTTATTCTAAGTGCTGGCCATTTCAGACAACAAACACAGCAAGCAGCTCCTCATTCCAGTCTCGTACCTACAGCTAAATCCCTCTTTCTTCATTCCAACACTGGCCTGCATCCAGCTGCCCTGCCTCTAACCACGTAACAGTCCCAACGTAAACTGCACAATCCTTTTCTTGCAGTGGCCTTGGCGCCTCTGCTCTCGTGCTACAATTTGCTTCTTCTTAAGGGAAAAAAACAAGCATTCTCCCATCTCTTTTCTTCAAAAGAAAAACATAAGTAAGCTGGAGCCGTGTTCTCTCCTGATCTCCTCCTCCCCAGATTTTCTGCTCATTTCTAGCATATGATGAGTGATCATTTTTTTCCTGAGGTGTATGAGTATGAGCTAACAGCGATTAGGTATGATAGAGAGAAAAATGTAAATGTTTCTAGAAACTTGCAAAACAAAGAAACCCCCCAAAGTAAGATCTAAAGTTGCTGAAGCCAAAGACAGCGCCCTTGCCCTGCTAGCTCAAAGACTGGATTACACCAGACAAATGTTTCAAAATGAACAGTACTGCTTCCAGCTGGGGCGGAAGGGGAGCTTACGCTTGTGAAACCACTGCGAGGATCACCGTGTGCTCGGAGGGATTTGTGGCCCGGATCGACCTGCAATGACAAAGCGCCAAGTCAAACCAGGTGACCAGGCCTTGTTATGTTAACTAAATACAGAACTTCCTCCTAGTGACAGTGGCACAAAATCCAATGCCCCTCTACAGGAAAAGTCTGAAAACACATGGAATACAACAAAGAAAGATGCCCGTGTGGATTAGGACAATCTCTTTGTGTTTTACTGAAAAAAAAAATTTTTTTTTTAAACTCCCAGGCAATTCTCCAATAGGTCAGAGCTGCCAATTTTCCACTTCAAAAACTGGCAAATTCCACTTAAATTCCATGTTTTCTGATTGAAATTCCACTCTGCAAGAAAATTGGCAGTCCTACAAGTCTCTGGTTATCAGTTTGTACTTGGGGACCTAATTGGGTTGGATCCTTTTTCCTTTTAAAATAGTACATAGTTGAGAAAGTTGACCTTTTAATAAGGATTGCTAGCAGCTGGATATACAAGGGCAGGTTAAAGTGTTAAGAACCATATAAAGAGCCACCCACATTTTTTGGCTGTACTGTTACTTGTGCTTCAATGCTTTAAACAACTAGGTCACCAACTCGGGCAGAGAAATGTTGTGACATATAACTGTCACTATAATGACACCTGTTGTACTGTGACCACCTGTCTACAATTTGTTTATTCGCTAGGAATTTAACAGGATTAAAATACCCAAGGATATAGATTTCTGAGGTCCATGAGTCTTCTTAGAAAATGCGCTATTCTGCAACTCAGATTTTGGATTATTCTGGACAGGGGTCATGATCTGGATGAACTTTTAGTAACGGGCCACATACCTGAATCTTAGAACAAACAAGCATGCCTGTTTTGATCTGTCTCCTTGGGCTAGCCTCTCCTTCTTTCAAGATCCCCCAGAAGGGAACCATCACCTTCCAAAACAGAAGGCTCAAGGCTGCTCCTGAGTAATTTGTGAAACAACCTGTATTTGCGTTTCTTTCTAGCTACTAGCATTCCTGCTCCTCTCCCCTTCAATGTGTTTGCACCACTGCTCCCTGAGGACAGCCAGCTCACAGTGCTTCACCTCTCTGACTCCAAATTTTCCCCACCTTTCTCCAAAAACATACCTTTTCCATGTCCTATTCCTTGAGACCTCACTCTATGTGAATAGAAGGTTCAAGAAAATGACCAGCTGTCATCTTCCTGCAAAGTGAAGTTTCCTTTTTTGCATACATGGTGTTTGAATAAGCTCCTTTGCAGAGAGTGCCTTAACTCACTATAGGGCAGCAGGAGTTAGGTCAGGCCCCTCCAATGCCAGCACAGACTACTTGCCAGTTAGCCATCCCACAGAACAGGTCCCTGAACAGTAACATGAAGCTACACTTATTTCCTACCTGGGAGCTACCGAATTCTCAGCAGAAATACCAGTAGCACCAAATGAGAAAAATGCACAGCATTTCAGAGGTGCGCTCTCACCTGCAGGGAACACTCAGCTCTTCCCACCTTCTTCCAGCCTCTTCTGCCCCAACAAGATGTCCTGGGTACACTGCTAGGCTGCATCCTGAGGGGTGGGACTTAGGCAAGAGGCCCAGACACATTATGAATGTAACTGGGCAGGAGCTCATACTCGCTCAGCTTCTTTTGAGAATGGCTTCTGTGTTTTGGGTCCCTTCCTGCTATTCACCTCTCCTCTCTCATTCCTCCAAAGAGCTGGTGTGGCCAGAGGGACCAGGACCCCTTCCTGGTTGAGAGGATTAAGGGGGACTGGGGACAGGCAAGCCAGAAGTCCAAGGAAGCATGCTAAGCTAAGGTCTAGTCTAGCTCCAAAGCCAGGGATCTCGGGCCAGAGACAATAAAGAATGCATATCTGCTGGGGATGGGTCCCCACTCATCTTAGGGAACACATGTGGGCAGGCCAGCACCAGCAATCCTCAACATGATGGGTAACGGTTGGTAAATAAACCAGCAAACACGTAATCCAGCTTCTGAACTGCACAGATGCCTCATTGTTTTCCTGTGCAGCTGAGACAGAAGTTCCTTTATCATGAAACAAAACTACATTTCTTTATATTCAAGGTAGACTACAAAGCTTATCTACTAAAATTGGACCTTTGCCTGAATTAAAAGAATTCTTTCTATCAACTTCTTTTTACATCTGAGGCCTATCTTAAATCATTCTATATATGCACAAAGAATTGTGGTATTTCTGCCAGAAAATCAATAAGAAGTGGAGACAAAGAAAAAGCAGACATACTTAATTATAGGGGACCCAATTCTAGCCTGAAAATCATTTTATATATATATATTTCTTACTACTAAAAATATAATCCAAATATTTTAAGATACATATTATTTATTAATATATATAATAATTAATTAGGCAAATGTTTCTATGCAGGAAGGCAAGATTATTTGAGACTAGTAAGACATTTTTAAGATAGGTTCCTTAAGAAAATTTCTTCTTTGGGGAACTGAAAATGGTCGAAGACTAGTAGGGCAATGTCTTTAACAAGAAACTTCTTTTAGTCCACTCATTTCTTTCCAGGGTACCAGAGGTTCAAAGAAGCCAGTTCCTTACCTTTCATTTCACTTATTAATATTCAAGACAATTCCAGCTCCATACATAATTGGACACTGCCCTGCTCTAGCATTTAATTAGTGACCTCTTCCCGTCCAGCTTCAAAGCATTCCACTTTTGCTAAACGGATCAGTTCATCCAGAGCTCACTCTGATGACTGCATTTCTGTAGGAACAGGCAAGCATTTCCTCCCCAGAGTGCAAGCATTTCGGTAAACAAGCAGAGGGTGGAGGTGGGGGTTGGATCCCTGGAAGATTTTCTGCTGGTGCAAAGTGGCTGCCTTCCCTCCACAACTGCTGCAGAATCCACCCGTCTGTGTCAGGCATGGAAAAATGTCTATTTCACACATTTCTGATGTTCATTTTGGGACAGAATAATTAAGATTAAAATATCTGGTTTAAATCCAAACCATATCTGTGTAATAAGAACTGTGTGAATTTCAAAGTTATTTTTGTGTGAAATATGAGCAATACTCAAGGGGAAAAAATACCCTGAAGTTTTCAGTGGAGCCCAGCTCGCACCTCTAAATTCATCGGAACTCAAATGTGGAAACATGAAAAAGGCCGTATGAGGAGCTACAGCTTTCCTCACAGAAATCCATGTCTATTGCTTAGAAACATCAATACATATTTTTAAATATTTGAGATGGAACAAAAGACGTCTCTAAATGAATTTCATTTTAAGCTGTTAAGTGAACATTTACCAACATATTAAGATAACTAAGGTACCTGCACACTGCTTCCGCATCGAAGTTTCGAGTTTGTCTGTGATCGATGACAATAATTTCATGATGTTTATCTAGAAAGCATTCCAGGGCTGACTCTGGAGTCCGAGCAATATTGCACCTGTAGCCGGCTCTGTCACAGGCCCACCAGAACCCATCACTCTGACTGTCTTCCTTTGCAAAGATCAGCAAAACCTGGAATACACATACGAAAAAAGAGGATCTTAACAGAAGTTAAGAGACCATTAAAAACAGGCCAACAAGATACTGATTTAAAGTGCAGCCTCTGGAGAGAAGCTCCCTGCATTCAAATCCCAGCTGGTCCACTGATTCAAGGGTGTCTTTGAAAAGATAGTTCATCTCTTCAGCCTACAGCTTCTCGACCATCACACGTGATAAGAACTGTGCCACAGAAGCGACCTATGAGGCCTGAGTGAGCACAGAATAGGTGCTCCATCACTCTGCTGCTGGCTGTTATCCATCTGTAATTTCCTTTTGGCTTTGTTTTTAAATAGACTGAGCAGTGAAATGATAACAGGCTGATCAACACAGGTTCGACTGCGGCGCATATTCACTTATTTGGTTCCAGAGGAGCTGGCGTTGGCCTCGAAGTACCTGGAGGCCACTTCTCTGAAATAGCACTTAAATCTCTACCCAGCCACAGAAAGGATGGGAACGCAAAACAACCTCAGAGACTAATTGTAACACTAAACACTTCCCCGATCTGGAAAGTGATGATGAAATGTGAAGCGACTGGAGCTAAGGTGAGGAAACTTGCCTCTTTTTCGCTTCACTGAAAAGTGTAGCCCTGCTCCCTTGAAAGAAGGTAGCCATACTTCCCACCACGGTGTCCTCATCAATCCCTGGCGGCCAGAAAGCCAGAGACAGCCACACCCCCACTTCAACTTGTTCATTTATGTGTTTATGGTCCATCTTCCCCACTAGAACTGAGCTCCAGGACAGCGGGGACCTGTCTGTCTTGCTCCTGCTGTGACCCTGTGCCCAGCCCCGGGCAGCACTTAACTGCCTGCTCAGTAAGTATTCAGCGAGTCAAAGGTAACTACGCGTAGGCTTTCTGCAAAATGCAAAGGGCTTTACTGTCAATTGGAGTGAGACTACCTCACAGCAGTACGTCCAGTAAGAATAACATACAATAATCTCAAGATATTGATAAGGTGTTTAATATTCTTCTCCATCCACTTCTGGTTTAAACAATTAGGAACACAAATGTGGTTTCTGTTCCTCTAGGCCCGTAGCTAATATCACTCTTCATGAAATTTGGAATGTTTCATTTAAAACCAGAGACAAGACAAACTGTCCAATCATTACCACTACATTTAAAAAATGCTTTACTAATTGAAAATTGACTATATATAGAAAAACAGAAACAAGAGTATAATGAACCTCATGTACCCATCACCCAGCTTCAGCAATAACCAACTCCTAGCCAGTCCGATTTCAGTTCTTCCCTACCCACTTTCCCAACTCGTACTAGCTCGCAGCCAATCCCACATATCATTTCATTTATATGCATCTGTTAGATTCTTTCCTAAAACAAAAAACAAAACAGAAAAACCACAATACAATTTCATACGTAAACGTCTCCAAAAATTCCTTATCATTTCACATCTGAATGTATCATAAATGTCATTTGTTTTACACTGTTTGAATCATTTCCTGTTTTCTCAAATGTCATGTTTCCAGAAGAGAAATAATATTTTCCAGCATGATTTTGACATTTTCTTCTTAACACATGTCTTGAAATCATGTACCAGTAACACATGAGGCAGCCATGCTTATTAAGGGCTCACTCTGGGCAGAGGCCACTCCTCAGTCCAGACTGGCCCCAGAAACCTCAGCCACAGAGCTATTTCCAGGAAGAAATGGGAGGTGGCTCTTTCAAGAGAAGTGGAGGGCTCAGGGGGAGCTCTTGATAGTGAAAAGAAAGCCTTCAAATGAACTGTTAACAATAGAGCCACAATGAAAAAATTAGGCAGAATGAACTGGTTTGTATGAAAAGTCACTAGCCCTTTACTTGATGTGGCTGTGGTTTTGCATGAGAAGCTCAATATGCAGAGCCTAAAAGTCAGAAAAGGGGACAGAACTTCTTGTCTCATCTGCCTGGCTGAATTATGGCCTGCCGAACAAGAATCACAATACTCTGTATTTCCTGTATGCCTCAGTATTTGACTAACACAATAAGAACCTAACTGTATTCCTATATTAGACATTGCTACGGATATTAACCTCATATGTCTTATGTGCTTTTAAAAGACTAGAATGTTCCACTTTTGGAAAATAGTATCATTATTCAAATATTTCCTGAGCACCTACTACGTTCCAGATACTGTTTTAATTGCTTAGAGCAGCCTGATGAACAAAATAAAGGCCTCTTGCATTAGGAGTGGAGGGACAAACAATAGGCATAATAAATATGCAAACAATGTGGGATGTTAAAAGCGGTAAGTGCTGGGAAAAACAGCAGGGCAGGGTGAGGGGCTCTGCAGTGGGTGTGGGGAGCAGCATTAAGTAGGGTGAGGTGGGTAAGCCTCACTGAGAAAGTGACATACAAAATACAAGGAAGGAAACAAAAGTCAAGTTGGTAACTGAAGAAAAAGCAGTCTACCAAGAGGGAACAGATCCACTGGCCCCTACAACGGGACGCATGCCTGATGTTTGCAAGGAACTGCAAGGAAGCCAGTGTGACAGAGGCGACGGGGAGCGGGCGGGAGAGGAAGTCGAGGTCACTGCAGAGGGCTACACTGTCCTGAGGCCTTGCAGGCCATTTTAGGAACGTACAGTAGCTTTTACATGGAAACTTACAAACGAATTGACAGTGGCCACTCATAGCAATCATTCCTTGTTCATTTCTGCATTTCTGATGCATTGACGTCTAAAGCCTTGCTGACCCCTGAGGGCTGGCCAACTCTCTAGTTCCTAGAGATGGCAAACAACTTGTCCAGGATTGCACTTTTCACGTGCAAACCAGTCCAGAGCCCCTACCCCTACCACCTCTATCACCGCCTAACCCTCTGGACCACTATCCACTTGCCCTAATCACTCCTAGGCCAGGTACCAGACAACTGGGGACAACCCTTCTGCCCAACACTCCTCTGGAATGATGCAAACTAGCCAAACCTGTTTACGTTACCTCACCCCTTCGCACAGAAACCACAATAAAGGCTCTTGCCCACATCTTCTGCCTTAAACTCCCTGCCTCTGATCAAAGGGAGCTTCCCACAGTGGTCCTGCACTGCCTGCCTCCTCCTCTTGGGAACTGGGAGTAACAAACTGACCTTCAGTGACAGTCTCTACTAGCCTGCTGGCCTCACCCCACCTGAACAAGAATAACATCTACATTTTAAAACAAGTATATTTATATTACAAAAGCATTCACTAGAGAATTTCTCCGGGTAGTGCTCAAAATTCTTTCCATTTATAAAAAATTAATTCAGAAAGAATACTTTTCAATAATTCAGCTCCTAAGCAAACTGAAAATCTATGGGAATAAAACATACATAATTTTAGAGTAAAGTACTGTAGTAATCACCTTTTTTTTTTTTGATGACTGCCTATCTCTGGAAAACTATACCTTCTCTAGGAAAGCAGTTCACCCAAGGAACCAAAGCTATACTCTCTGTCCCTACTTCCTAGGCCACTGCTGGGCTAGGAATATTGTTTCTGGGAATCTGAAGTTTGAACAGAGAGACACAGAGGCTGAGGATTAGGACCCATGGCTCATTTATAGTAGAAATACTGAAGGAAGAACCTTAAATTCTTCTCTAAATACTCAAGAGATACCTCAATGCCACCCTTCCTAAGCCATAGATTTCCAATTCTCCCTTGGATTCTGCAAGAAAAAAAATACACTATCTTTCTAATATATTTCTTACTCATTTACTATTTTGTATAAGGCAGCCAAAGAATATACTGGCAACCAAAGAATATAACCCAAAGAAACTTTACGTGATAAGAGTCTCTCTTCAGATATATCATTCTATGTATCAATATTTAGTTTCTTTGTAAGACATGGCCATTTGTAAATATTTATTGACCATTCACTGAGTAAATCCCATAAAATGATTTTGCAAAATATGTTTTAAAAAATCATTAATAAAAGCATACAACTAAATTTAATTTATAAAGAGTTAAAATAAACTCTTACTTGCTCTAAATAATATGCGGAACATTCTTTCAAAAAATCCTTTGGATGACCCATCACACAGCTTGTTAAGAACTCAGAGTAAAAAGCTAACAGAGACAACCATGGTCCAGTCTCTGCCCCAGAACCCAAGCAGGGGAGGGATTCAGGTAAACAGATAGGTACCAAGAGACACACTAATAAGTGGTGACCAAAGACAGAGCATGGACATGGCACCTAGGAAAGAAGCTAGGCACAGGAGAACGGGCAGCAGAAGTGGTCTGGTTTATCACCCACACTGCACTGCTGTAAACACAGCAAGAGAGAAAACAGATAAAGAGCAGCTCTGGGACAAAGCCTGGGACAATGAGGAAACGTCTTCTGGAGCAGATCTTGGCCGCCGTGGGACCTGCTCAGGATCAGAACACAAACATAGGAAGTTCTCACTTTGCACAGTAGTGACAGACCATATAAATGACCATGCAAAGCAATCTTAATGAATGATGGCAAAATGATTGTTCCATGATGTTTAGAGATTTTGTCAAAACATAAACTTTCTTATTGTTGGTTATAAATTGATAGGGAAATGGGAAAAAAGTAAACATTTATTCAGTGCACTGTAATTTAAAATATTAGAAACAGAATTTAAAAACTTTTAAACTCACTGAGTAGTTTGAACAGTGCTTGCCTTCTTCCAGTAGGATAAATTATAATACAGAGCAAGCCTCTTTTCTATGTCTTGGCGAATTATAAACTCCTACGTTTGCATTAGCTTCCAATATTTTATCCTCTGTACTTTCAATGTCATGAAATACCTCCAGAGTTCCTTCACTCAATGTGCATTTTTTTTTCCACTGGCATCACTCCCTCTGTGACATTTCATCCTTTTTGTGACAACCACTTTCTTCAATGATTTCAATAAGCTTGCACTGACTAACTTCCTATGGCTCCTATGCAGAATCTCTCACAGGCAGCAGTGTCCACATTCCCACAGTCAGCTATTTCTCCCCTCACTCCATTTACGTTGCCATTTCACTTCCAGCATGATCGCTTC